TCTCATCCACAGCATACATTTAGAGCAGCTACACCCATAGGGAAACTGCAACATGAAAAAAAAAACCCAAACAATTACCCTGGAGCCAAATGATGCGCCAAAGCTTGCTCATGTGTCCTAACAAAGGCCCTGACAAAGGTGCTTTAAAACCCAGCAACGTGACACAACACTTTATCCACAATCTATAAACAATTCACAAGGCTGCCCTGCCCTGCTGAAATGAGCTGTTAACTCCTAAAACTCAGTTTCTGTGCCCCATCATGAGAAATCCTCAATCTTTCAAAAAATAAAAAATAAAAAAAAAAGAAAATTGGCTGGCTTACAGTTAGTAACTTTTCACAACAGATGTGAGAGAACACGAAACATCCTGAGATCTGTTACTGAAGAGTTCCATCATCCTCAGAACACCTGTGTTGGAAGTAGCCTACCAGGGACTCAATTCTCAGCAAGTCTTATGTTACAGCACAGATAGAAATCTTAATACAGGCAATATTAGAATGAGATTGGCACTCTGAAATAAGAGCCTACACTATCAGAACAAGATTCAAGTGATTTATACCACAAACGGTGACTGCAGAAAAGTATAGTGTAGAAATATTTAAATTCAAGAAAAATCACTTCAGAATATAAAATAAGTATAATGGCATTTCTGAACTCATGTATTTTCCTGCAGCATTACAAGCATGCACAGCGTGTAAGGTATTAGCTTAGAAGAAAATGAAACATTTACTTTCACTGGCCAAACAGAAAAATGAAAGTAATTTACAAGACGAAAATTGCATTGGATTTAACATTATTTGCACAAATTAAGTTACAGAAATAAAACACCTAAGGCTTTAAATTTCAGCCTAATAACAGAAAGGTAATTCTGATAGGAATTTTGAAATAGATGTCTTCAAAATAAGGACAAAATAAAGGACATCATCATCTCTTGAAAAAATATCCATATATATACATATTAAAGGCAGGATTTATTATACATGTGTTTAATAAAAAGCATCACTTGCACACAGCAAGAGAAGTTACACAGAGCCCTTATTCCCTCCTAGAGTAAAAGTCAGACATCTAACACTACATTTACTGTTAACCTTATCTTTTAGCTTTTCTCCCTTCAGATCCTTCTACAAAGTTTAGCAAAAGCTCAAGGAACTCATGTCTGAGTACCATGTCTGGTACCAGAACTGACAAAACATGTCATCTTCAGAAACAAGAATCAGCATATTAAAGCTGGAAATAAAAATTAAAACATGAAGAAACAAAGTGTTAGCTCATCATCAGCCTTTAAACTTAAAATCTAAAGATCCTTTGGTTTGAGATAAACAAGTTTTTGTATAACGAAATCAGACGTTGTGAAGAACACTTGTTTTGTACAAAATGTAACTGTCACGCTGCAAAGGCACTTCCGTGCCAGCTCTCACCAGCCCGAAATGTCAAGTAACACAAAGTTCACACGTCTTTAACAATTGAAACAAGAACAAATAGAGAAGGGAGAGAAGCATTAAGAACAAACTAACCAATTTCTTCCCTCTACCCACTCTAACATCTAGGTAGGGACAAGGTGGCAAAGGGCATAGAAATGTTTATCAGGAAGCTTTCTAAGGAAAGTTTGTTATGAACAGAAAACTAAGAAGAAATGACCTAGTCAGCATCACCTCCCCAAATACACATATCCAGCATCAAGTCCGAATTTTGAGGAAGTACATCTTATGTCAGTCCTATTATGACTAAATTGGTATTTCCCTGCATTCCAATAAAAGACATTTCTTGGAAAGAAGAGTCTGAATTAACTCATTGCTCATTAAGCCTTCTTACTTTAACCTTTAAAATATCTTTTTCCTCACTTTCTTTCTTCACATCCTTTTATATCCTGACTATGTCTAAGAAACATAAATCTGTGCTATGCCTAGACTGCACCTCCAATTTTTTGTAATTTACAGGAAAAAAAGAGAAAGATTCATGGTAAGTTTTGCCAAGCAACTTCTGACCATTGTTTGAAACGGTTAACACAGCCTCCCAGTGTTACAAATAACTAACTAATTAAGAATGGCATCATATATTATGTTACTCTTAATAAATTAATTTTTAATATCATTAGTATTAACATAGCATGATATATCATGCTATATAAAATAACAAAACACTTGGAAATTCCCAGTTGAATTTCTTGATGATATTTGATTTCAAAAAAATTCAAAAGTATTGGTTTTGAACAAGTCAACCACTATCAGTTCTTCCACACCACATGTATAAAAATGCCTGTGCTAATCCACCTCTTGCTCCAGAAAAAACCCACAGTAAGTTAACATGTTCCACTACAATAAATACCTATGATTTGTAGCGTAACATTTGCAACATAACTAAAATAATGTATATGTCAACAGCCTTTACTGGATGCATCACAGGTGGAAACTGTTCTGTCTCCTTTAGTGCAAGCTCAGAAAGTTCTCCACACATTTATGCCTCAGATGTACTGGAGTTCAGAACTGCCAGAACTGACCAGTGAGCCTGAAGGGAAACCTTTGATGAGCACCACAAGCAGAGCTAAATCTTCCTCTTAAATCCTACCCAGAGACTCAAACTAAACCGTGCAACAGTGCACCTGTAACGAAAACAATACTAGCAACAAGTTGCTAAGAGGCACAATTCAGACATCTTAATTGCTGTTTGCCCAACTACTGTAGTTCACAATTTGCTAGGAAGGGATAAAATATCCAGACCCCTCTCTGCTAACAAGAGCTACATCACTGCAACTAACACTTGCTTTTATCAGTGATGATGAAAAGCACGCGCCGGGAGACGATTAAAAAAGGCGGAAAAAAGAAAAAAAAACAAAGAACCACCATGTAAGTCAAATTTGTGATGTGCAAGCAATCAGAGTTCCACACCAGATAGATACACTGCCCATGAAGAACGCAGAGCCACAACACACACCTAACCAGCACCGCCGGCCCCAGAGGGGCACCGCGGAGGGCACCTCGAGCGGAGAGGCCGACGCGAGTTAAGGGAAGAGCGAGCAGAGACGGCGCAGCACAGCGAGCTGAGCCAGCTGCAGATGGTTTCAGGCCCCTAGAGCTGCTGCCCCACGGCCCCATTGTGTCTCTGTGTGTGTGTGCAGCGCGGGGCGGTGCGCGCGGCCGAGCGCGCCC